TGTTCATAGAAAGAAAGGCAACAATAAGATATATGCTGATAAGGAAGGAGATAAAAACAAACAAACAAAAGGCAATACAATTATTGAATACAAGCCAGACATCTTCCACGTTTTTAAGGAGTTAGTAAAATGTTAAAATACAATGTGCTAAAATGCTACTCATGCTAGCTGAAGTGCTCAGTGCTGATGTCATTGCATGCTGCCTGATTTCATATGGTCTTTTGACTGGTCTACTCATTTCGTCAAAAAGAGATCCAAATTGATACAGATACAAAATAGGGAAGATGTGAGGGGTTGTCTGATTGTGAAGAACCTCACTACGGTGTTGTTAGCTCTTCCATCCCAGTGTCCACTGGTCAGTAGCAAACAGTAGTCAGACACAGCCAGAGACCAACTGCTGAAGTGAACACAAAGAGTGTTTAGCAGCTGGAAGGTTCCATATTGTGTCCATATGTCTGTGTGCAGTGTGATTACAAGGCACCTCTGACTTCTCCCTGAACCTTGAAACAAGCTTTCACATCCTCTCTAACTTTGTGATGTCACAACAAAGCAGTCACCCCACTCAGCCAAACATCAAGCCTGACCTGGACCCATCATCCAACCTTGCTGGATTTGGTTTCTCTTAGTTTTTTACTTGAAATGTGATATTTATTATCAGATCACTCAGAAAAGAGTCAGCTAATCAGAGGAGGTGTTCAGAGCCTCCTCTCTTCTGATTGGCTAACACTGACATGTTGCCATTAGAACTCCAGAGAGAAGCCTAAGAAAGATGTAAAACTACACTGTGATGGTTTTTGGGTCTAGAACCACAAATATATCTTTTTATGGGTCAACACTTCAAATAAAGAATAAGAGAAGTTCTAAAATATGGGACCTTCATGAGCCATTTATTTCCCTCAGAGACAACGCCAGGAACCCAAAAGGGCTCGAAGGAAAGCACATACTGGATTTACATTCATCACGGGCTCCATAAATGAACCTTTTCTTCAATGCACAACGAAGACAGCACTGAGTGAGTGGCAGCTGCAAGTGTTCAGATTCTATAAACAAACAGCTTGCAATGTCTATGGGGAAGCACTCTTCATGTTAGCTAGCAAGGCAAACTGGGTCCTACTCAGATTGTGGATATCAGTTAGAACGGTTTGCTCCTTTTTTCTCAATGAAACACAAATTAAAAAGTAAAATATGTCATCCCCAATAATTAATGTTGTAAAGGGACATATGTCAGTATGTAATTGAGTCTATGTGGACTTTTGTCATATAAACAATGCCACAATTGAGTTGATATAGGCTTCAACACATTTTTTAAAATATGTCCTGTACTTTGAATGCTTGTCATTCACCTAATACTGTTTTAAAATGAATAGTTTTATCCATTAAAAATCACAAAATAAAACGAACCACACAATGTGTAGCCTCTACACACAATCTCACCACTGATGATGGTGCATAATGCAACCAGCAAACATGCAAGATAGAATGAGTAGTTAAGTCAACACAAATTGAGGACAACTCATTGGCTTATATGACGAGAGTGTTGAGCAACTCCATACCAGTCTGCAGTCTCCGTACTGTACAAGGTGCTAACAGATATATGAGTGTGACACATTTTAGTGAAAACACCTCATAGCCCTGAGTGATACACACCATTTACTTTCTGTGCAAAATAAAGAGGGGGGAACTAATGCAGTGATTTTAACAGTTCATACCTGTTTGTGTGTGGCTTGGATTCTTCATTTCTCAGAGGACAGTCTTTTGTTTGATCACTCACAAACGTTTTTACTCCTTTAGGCTTGTATGACACTATTGTCATTCTTCACACTGAAAATAGTAACGACGATGATAAAAGGATGGTACACTCAGCAAGTAATACATTGAGAGTACTGCAATGATGCTGTCTGGTTCCTCTGCTCAGTTCTTTATGTCATGTAAACTTTGTAAACGTTTGTTCATGTAAACTTTCATCTGCTCCGTGTTGACATGGCTGCATCACATCATCTCTACAGATTTGTCAGCTGCACATTTAAGCTGCAAACTTCCTGTTCCACCGTATCCTAAAGGTTTTCTACAGGGTCCAGGTCTAGAGACTGTTGAAGTCACTGAAGTTCAACTGAACATTAACTCGCTGGAAGTTACCATGTGAAGATGGCACGTTGTCCATTCTGATGCTTTTGTATTCACCACATATGTGACGTGGGGTTACCTGTCTATCTGTTATCTTGTTAGATTATGTTCAGTGCTCATAAACAGTCAAAGAACAGTTATTCATACTAAGTAAAAACACTGTCCTATTCCAGCTGGTCCCTTTTTCCCCTTTAATGATGTCCTCTACAGTATGTGACTTCTGGTAGAAAACAAAGGATTCTCTCAGATGATCATGCAGGTCCACCACCAGCGTTCAATTATTTCGCCTTGTTTATGATTCATAAATCGTAATTTATCATGACAGACTGCTGCTGTAAATATCACAATACCCTGAACCTCAGCTCCTGTTGCAGTGAAACAGGAGCCGGTAAAAGGAACCAAAGTGATCTGCTGTTGCAGTTGTTAATATATTAGTGTCACTGAAGCAGAGTTGACCCTAAATTTAGAATTGATCTAACTGAAGCAGCTGATGTTTGTTCATTCTTCATCTTTCAGTTTTCGAAAAACAAGAATTTGTTCTAACCTTCATCTGGCAACACAACACAGACTGTTAAGGTTGGTGGCTGTATGTTCTTGCCAAAATGCATCTTGAGAGGTAATGCCACACAAGTTTGCACCTCTTTTCTTTGATTCAAATAACCTGGTAATCTGTAACACAGCTGTTCCTCCTTTGGAGAGATGATTAGGAGCCTGTGTCTGATCCAAGCTGCAGAAGAGCTCCAACTGTGAGTCATGTAAAATCATCTGCAGGAAAATAATAGCCTAAATGGAAATTTTTACTTCTGGAACTGGGGAATCCAAAAAAGCTCCCCTAACTCTATCTTCTGTTACACAAGTTACACATTCATCAATCCTCTAAAGAGGCTTTCAGCTTGGACATAAACAATTGTCTTATTACATTCACCTTGTTACTACAATATACACTGAACAAATAATATATGATTTGTCATCATTATTACAGTTAAGCAGCAGTATCTAAAACTTATATTATATTATACAGTGCTGAATTTATAAATTGCTATTCATTTATTCAATGTATCTTATAATGGATTTTTTTATATATATATCTATAAATATAAACTCATCCATACATCTTGACATCTGAGAGTCATAATCCAACAGTACTTTCACTTGCCTTGTCAGACAGATTAAAGGTCCACATCTTACACCAGTTCCATTTTTTTTAAGTGTTGAGATGATGGTTTTAAGAACAAAAAAACATCTCAGTATAGTTTTGCAACTCCCCTCAGGCTTCTTTCTGGAGCTCTACCAAATCCAGCAGGGCTGGGTGGTGGGTGTAGGTGGGCAGGGCATAAGTCAGATGGTAACTGCTTTTTGTGACATCACAAATTTACGGTATTCCTAACAGCTGGTTTAAAAGGTACTTCTCTATTGACTGTGACTTTAATACTTTCACAGTAAGAACCTAGACTTTACATTCAAACAATGTGCGCACATCTGCTTTTATACTATATGCACCTTTTATTTAAATTGTCTGGAGTACATGTTAGACATATTAAACATTTGTTTGCACTGGATTCTTCTCTAAAATAAAACCATAAAAACTCATCTCAAATATTAGATTATTTCTGTATGTGTGTGTGTGTGCGTGTGTGTGTGTGTGAGAGAGAGAGAGAGAGAGAGAGAGAGAGAGAGAAAGAAGGGTCAGATGAAACTGGCCTTTCCCATTCCTCCTTGTGCACACTATGTAGTGTCATGATGATGAACCCTGGCTGTTCATTTTCAAACATAATATGTTTTATGAAGTTCAGCGTGCTGCCATCAAGCTGTAAATCTGTTCTCCCTCTTTCTCCCCTGTGTCAGCGGTGGAGGGTCTCTGTATAATTTGCAGTGCATTTAATAGCACATTAACATTTAACAACCACAGTTCACTGTCTGACTGTGCTCTGGCACCACTGCAGCCGCCTGTATGAGCTCCCCATTCTAGGTTTAGATTATTATTGACATACAAACTGTAAAAAACAAAAATATAGCAGTTCACTGTAAAAAGTCATTGTGCATTTTATTGAAGTTCACAATGCTTATTCATTACCTGAGTAATAAGTCTGTTAGTCTCAACATCAGGGCTGCAATCAGGGGTTCCTGTATCACCACTTAAATTAATGGCATGGAGGTATCATTTCAATTTTCATAATATACTGTATCATGCTGTTGCAGTTTTCATACACATTTAGACATATCGTAAACTCATTAGCATGCTCATGAGTGCTGTGGGTTAATTTTAGATTCAATTTGATAAAATAGGAGGAGATGAGCAATGACTGTAGCCTGAGTAGGGGACATTGTTTCATACAATACAATGTGATTGCTTGTGGAAGCTGTTTCTTTCTTTCTTTCTTTCTTTCTTTTGTAGGTGGTGGAAATATAAGTCATTTCATAGGCAATCAGCCCGGTACAAAAACTCTACCACTGGATTTTGGGGTAAGCAGTGATGCCGACTGTCCATGAGACAAAGGCAGGAACTTGCCTGCATGCCTGCTCACTCCTGGTGTCAAAAAGTGGCCCATGGGACATGGACTGTCACCTGTCTGGCAGGGGATATTCCTGAGCTGGTGTGGGAGGTGCAGCAATACCAGCTAGATGTAGTTGGGCTCACTTACACATACCAGGGGCTCTGAAACCAAACTCCTTGAAATTTGCTGGATTCTTTCCTTTTCTGGGGTTACCCAGGGTGGCAGGCCCCGGCTAGGTGTGGGGACACTTGCAAGCCCCTGGTGGAGCACCACGGCCCTGAGAAGGTTCGTGGAATCAGAGCATGCAACCTACCTCATGTTAACTGTGATGAATGTTGTATAACGTTCCTTTTTTAAGTGAGGTACTTCCCATTGAATCAGGCCCGGCTAGCTCAGTCGGTACAGCATGAGAATCTTAATCTCAGGTTTGTGGGATCGAGCCCCACATTGGGCGGTGCAGGCTTTTAAGAGGAGCTTGAGATTACAGCAATTAACTGTTCTCAGAGCTCCCAAGGAAGTCAGTGTTAGAAAAGAAGTAAACAGGCTCTCTGGACACAACTGACATTTAAAACATGATAAAGGAGCTGCAGTGTACAAAAGTTAGCTTCATTCTTAGCGCAATGAAGAAGACAGCTAAAAAAAAGCCTCCTTACCTATGGATAAATCATATGGAAAATTTTGGTTCCTCATCTCAGGCCTTGTCCACATGGAAACGGAGCTTCACTCCACACGTTCTTTTTCTTGTTTGTTTTGAAAAAGTTTTCTGTAAACATGACATCGTTTCAAGAAATAGCTGCATACACACGGATCCTCTGAAAATTACTCAAAATGCTGTGCTAGGCCTGTGTGGAGTGTGTGTGGCGCTGTAACACTGCCACACATACACACCCAAAACAGAGAAGAAGACGGAAAGCTCCCCTGCTGTATTCAAAATCCACACAGTGCAAGTTCAGTTGCAGTGTCCGAGGTCGCCGACAGTAGTCGGCTGTTGTTGTTGTTGTTGTTACATTACTTCCATAGACGGTATGTATCCAGCAGTGTGACACAGGTTACAGTTTCGAGGGGGGGGGGGTGACATCATCATTTCACAAAAGATCAGTTTTGGGTGTCTAGGCCTACACAAAAATGCTTAGGGAGTGTTTTGAGATTTTCCCAACCCATTTTAATGTCAATGTAAAGCTAGACTAAAGCTAGCTAAAGTTACATTTTGTTCATCTGCCCATGAGCTCCAGCACTCAGGGAAGTGTTTGATGTTCTTTTCTCCACAGTTTCTCGGATAGTTTTTGATAAAGTTAGCATACTAAAGCATGCTAACTGTGATGCATGTGTTGTACAAGCTAGCGTCTCATTGCAAAGGGAAGTCCTGTTTAGTCTCTGAAAGCCTGGCTAGCTCAGTCGGTAGAGCATGAGACTCTTAATCTCAGGGTCGTGGGTTCGAGCCCCACGTTGGGCGTTGCAGATCTTTAGGAGGAGCTCAAGAGTACAACAATCAACTGTTCTCTGAGAACAGTAATTGTAAAGTAAAGTAATAGTAAATGGGCTCTCTGCACACGAGTGACATTGGAAAAAAAGTTAAAATGCAAAATATATTTACTAGCTTCAATGTTAGCACAATTGAGATCAGTGGTGGAATCTCATGTTCTTTTGTCTTCAGCTTTTTGTGTGATTTCTTGTAGAATTAGCACACTGGAGAATGCTAACTTCCATGAATATGTTGTATAAGCTAGTGCTTCACTTTGATGTGAGGTATTTTGCCAAAGTCTAAGCCCGGCTAGCTCAGAGCATGAGACTCTTAATTTTAGGGGTGTGGGTGCAAGCCCCACGTTGGGCATTGTAGGTTTTTGGACTCAGGAGCAGACCAGCTAGTCAGTAGACTAGCTTGAGGACAGAAATCAGGGAAATGAGGGAAATCTGAAGCTGTCCTGAGTGTGCTGTATAAGCTAGTGTTTCACTTTGAAATTAACTATTGTCTTGGTGAAGAGACAGTTGCGCTGTAAGACAAAGCTCTCAATTTTACCACTCCATCATTGTTCCACCCCTCACCTCTAGTCATGAGCTCTGGGTAGACACTGAAAGAATGACATCTTAGATGCAAGTGGCTCAAATGGTGAAGTATGGACATGTGGATCACTGCTTCTTCAAATTGAAAGGGCCCAGTTTATGTGGTTCAAGCACCTGATAAGGATGCCTCTTTAGAAGTCTTCCAGGCACATCCAACTGGAGGAGACTCGTGGATGGCCCTGAACTCGCTGAAGGGATTACAGTCCCATTTGGCCTGAGAACAATTTGCATTCCCCCAGAGAAGGGCTGGTAGGCTTTGCCATGGAGAGGGATGTGTGGGACATTGCAAGAACATAATGGATGAATGGACAAAAAACAGTTTTGGCCTCTACAGCTAATTTCCTTCTTCATCACAGCTGTACAGGGGCTGTTTTTTTGTATAATACACCCATCAAAATAATCAAGGCTTAAAGTTCAACAAAACCGGGGCTCCGTTTAGCTCAGTGGGTTTAGCAGGTCCCCTCTGCAGCCAGCCCCAGCTTGAATCCCGCATCGGGTGGCCCTTTATTGCATGTCATTCCCCCTCTCTCTCTGCCTCCCCATTTTCTGTCTCTCTCAACTAACCTGTCAATCAGCTGACATGTACCCTTCATCTTTGCCCATTTTTGTATTAGCTGGGAGTTCAATATAGTCAGGAATGGGCAAAATGGGTGGGGAACAGTCCACTTGGAGCTTCAAAGCCACTCTTCAGAAACCAATGGATGATGTCACAGAAGCGGCATCCATCTTTATTTTTAGTCTATGGTCATAAGTAATTGTAACAAGGCATCACATTTTATGAACTCTTGCTTTGTATGTAACTTGTACCCCTGCTAAATACTGTCAGGGAGATCTAATGAAGTAAATGGATATGTAGATGCTTGGTAAAACTACAAATTGCTTGTAATCCCTGCTATCAGGCAGTTTAGAGCTGACAGACGTGGTGACTCAGCTTGATTTGAAGGTGGGAATAATGACAGCATGTGTTACCCCAATCCAAAAAACACCAACACAGTGTACAAATTAGAAATTTACTACACTAGCAAAAAAAAAAAACATGTCTCAGACTAAAATATACCTTTTCATTATCGTAGCAGCAGAAAATCTGTCTCATGATTTTGAGCTTCCTCTGTATAGACAAAAATAAGAAATGATGTCTGTGGCAATCTTCAAAGCATTTAATATCAACTGACAACGCCTCAACAATAATGTAGAATCCTGTATCTACCAGCCTCAGTGTTGTTGATCTTTCTTGGCTCAGTCTGAAGACATGGCAACTATTGTAGCAAATTTTCTTTTACTGACAAACACCCTAAAGATGCACATTCAGCCAACTGAACATTCACAGCTACAGTTGCAAGTGCTCCACCCTACCAGCCTTTGTCACTCTCTCTTTCCACACACACACACACAACATATACTGGTCTATTCCTGAAAGGAGCTGCTCAACAAATCTAACAATATTCAGTCTCAAACATCTCAAACTTACTGCACATCTCACATAGAGATATCAAATCAGTGTAAACGGTAAGGACGAGATGATTTAAGTCATAAGTCATTTTTTAATGTGTGTGTTCACTTTACACTATGTCTCTGCATTTGTGTAATGCTGCTGTGTCATAACTGATCTCTGATCAGTAAAAGCTGAAATTGACAGGAACGCTTTAGGTATTTCTTGTCACCTGGGAAAGGCTCCAGGATCATCCTGATATACACTGTTCCAAAAAAAAGGTGTGTGTGTGTGTGTGTGTGTGTGGGGGGGGGGGCACTTAGTCAAGCTAGCTTCCAGAGACATTACCCTACTGCTACCACAAGAGGGCAGTGAGTTACATAATGAATACAAATGGTAATCAGGTCCTTTAAAGGACAGATCACTGTTCTGAGATCAGAAGTTTGGAGACAGCTTACCTCACCTCAGTGCCATTATGGTATCTATTCTACCATTAACTGGACAAGTAGGACATGGAGAGATGGTGTTGACAGTGCAGGCTGTCCAGTAAAATTCAAGGTGAGTGTTAAGCAACAATGGATCAATGCTCAAAAATTTCATATAAAGCAGGACTTTGCCTTTTCAGGGAATTAGATTTATACAAACAATTTCTACAGGTGGCCTATCTGCACTGTGTTAGGATAAACAACCCTGCAGCAAGTAGTATATTGCTGTCATAGGATAAAATTACTGGCAACAAAGAGAGTTTGTCAAGTCAGGTGTTCATCCTACATCACACCATGGAGCCAAAACATTAGAATAACAGGGTAATGGCTTCATGGAGTTGGTTTCATGTGAAATAAAGTTAAAGTAAAGCAAGTGCAACACATTTGTAGGAACTACTGTAATATTTGGGACCAACTCTCTGAACAATGTTTTATTTCTAAAGAATGCAACTGACATGTCTTCTTTTTCAAACATGTTTATTATCATTTTCTTTTCACATCCCATAAAGAATGCAACACATAGTAACAATGCAAACATTTGTAATGCAAATAATCTGTAGTTGTTAAAACATGCTTTTGAGTCAAACCAGCATTTCCACTTTTTTAAGAATAATGTATGTTTCCCAGGGTTAAACCAAAGCTCTCCACCCACACTTAACAATGTAAGTTAGTCTTTAGAGATCAGTCCAGATCTGTTCCTTATCCACAATGTTGGTGGTGGAGTATCCTCCAAACTCTTCTAACGTCACCCACAGTGTAGTATGTGCTGTTTGTCTTTAGTCCTTCACATATATCCTCAATACAGTTTGACATTTAAATGGATTTTAGTCTTTCATATATCTGACAATACGAGAAGACTTCTTATTCATGCTTTATAAAAAAATACTTACATACACAACATACCCCCCCACACACACACACACACACACACACACACACACATACACACATAGACTTCATGGCAGCTGGACCTTTCCTCAGTCAGATGTGTCTCAGGGTAATTCCTCAGATCTCTTCCCACATCATGATGCATTTTTTACTCTCCCCTGCTCTGGTGGACCGTCAGTTAATAAGTCTCTGCTGGCTTCGTTTACAAAGACAACGTTATAGCATCGGGGCTGTAAAGAGGCTCGGGGAGATTGCCCAGAGCCTCCTCAGGAGCTGCAGCTGAGAAATGTGATGCTGTACGTGATGTATGAGGCGCAGGCACATGGCTGTTATTAAGATATATAGCGTGTTTCAGTCAAACAGGTTATCATGCTCAGGAGCCATTATTGTTCCGTACCTCCATCAGAAAAGCAGGCCTTTCATCAGTCTTTACAAATGATGCTAGTCAGTGATTTAGTAATACACAATACAACTTAGTGTTTGCTGGGTAAGTACTGGTTCATATTACACAAGAGTGCGTATTCACTTTGACTGGAATTATTACTCATATTATCTACATATTAGTCTTCATCAAATATTCTCTATCCTACT